GGAGGGTGGCAGGTCTTAGCTACAAGAGGCGACAGCTAGCAGCGTGTCTGGTACAGAATGACGTTTAAGCTTTCCTTTCACAAAGACTTGAAATATTGGATAACGAGAGTGAGGTGTTTGAGGGATATACGAGAGAGAGAGAGAGCACGGATGTTCCACCACCCACCTGCTGCTGCTGCTGCTGCTGTTGCTGCTGCTGCTGCTGCTGTTGCTGGTGGTGGTCGATGGCCCTGATCGATGCCGGCGGTGGAGGCATCGCTTACCTAATAGCGACTACCTAACAGTAACACCAATTGATTAAACTAGTCTTTTCTCCCCTGCCTACTGATCTCGTTATACCTGTTGCTTATTTTTTTTGTTTTCTAATTCTTTGACGTATCTGGCTTTAAAGTTGGTAATAGCGATGGCTCCCACGACTTATATTCTTACAGTGCATTCCTCTTGTTGATCACCCATTCACAGTACGAGTAGCTCCTTATTTTTCTTTACTCATTTGTGTTTCCAGCTGGCCACCTATATCCTCTTGCCCTACTCTCTCTGAATTTAAAGAGGCTCTTCATGTCGACCTTATTTATTCCCCACAGCATCTTGTAGGTAGTGATCAATTCCCCTCTGTTCATTCTGTACTCTCGTTTGGTAGATTGAATTAATCTTCATAACTTGATCCTGTTAGTTCAGGGAAAGCTCTCTACGTTTTCAAGTTTAGGTTTGTGCTTCACGAGGTGCGGCTTCCGTACGTCATCTGCATGCTCTAGGATTGGCCATTCATGGGCTGTATTCATCTTGAAAGAGTTCTTATCTGTTTTTTAAAATGCTGTTCTAAACTTTACCAGCTGGCAATATGTTGGCGATGTTACCCGTGTTTATATATGGGTTATATACGAGTTATACCTCTGGGGTTATAAGTGCTCCAATTATATCCACTCACAAATATATTATTCCTATTCCTGAAGTTCTTTTCCCACACTGCAAATATCTTTTGATCTTCTCTCTTTTTCTCCCTCTTTATTAACTTACAATTTTTAAAGTTGAACTCTTTAACAACCATTTATCTGCCTACTACTTGAGTGTGACAAAACAGTATTCAAGAATCACAATTCCACACTGGTTCTGATTTCCACCCTTACTGAAGGTTCTTGTTGAGTACCTCACATATCATCTTCATCTTCATCTACATATCATCGTGCACGTCTTCAAGAGGAAATTAGATTGTTTCCTTCAAGGAGTGCCGGACCAACCGGGCTGTGGTGGGTATGTGGGCCTGCGGGCCGCTCCAAGCAACAGCCTGGTGGACCAAACTCTCACAAGTCAAGCCTGGCCTCGGGCCGGGCTTGGGGAGTAGAAGCACTCCCAGAACCCCATCAACCAGGTATCAACCAGGTATCTCATTGTCTCTCTCTGAGAATACCCTCTAGTTTGACTGATAACAGGAACTCTTACTATGGCTTCTCTCCTTGTATAACTATACAGCAGGTTTCGTTGGTCTTTAGCTTTTCTTTTTTTTTTTTTTTGAGATATATACAAGAGTTGTTACATTCTTGTACAGCCACTAGTACGCGTAGCGTTTCGGGCAAGTCCTTAATCCTATGGTCCCTGGAATACGATCCCCTGCCGCGAAGAATCGTTTTTTCATCCAAGTACACATTTTACTGTTGCGTTAAACAGAGGCTACAGTTAAGGAATTGCGCCCAGTAAATCCTCCCCGGCCAGGATACGAACCCATGACATAGCGCTCGCGGAACGCCAGGCGAGTGTCTTACCACTACACCACGGAGACTGTGCATAGAATTTTCCTAATTTTCCTATTATGTGGTTTTCTAATTGTTTTTCACTTGCCCTCCTGACACGGGTGTACCCATTTCTGGTAGTCTTTGGCAACTATTGTTCTCTGTGCCAAGTTCTATGTATGTTTTCGTGCTCTTCTTTGCCTTCTCTTGGCCAACAACTTGGAGTGGTCGGTACAGCGGAGGCCTCGTTTCTTGCAGGTTGGCGTTCAATTCCTGATGGTCCAAGTGGTTGGTCACTATTCGTACCCTCACCTTTATCCTAGCGCCTTGTCCTCATATTCCCTTGCAGCTGCTAATCAGACTGGCTTAGCGCTTTCTTTTCATAGTTACCTTATCTTACCTTGAACCAGGGACTTACTTATCTCGTCTAATTCTTTCTTGAACTGGACGAACTGCTCCCTGACATTTGTGTATTTATTGCCATAAATTTCATTATCTAATATGATGTCTTCCTCTCTCCTACGGTCTTAATTGTTAACTAGGGGGTTACTACAGTCTTCTCGCCCTCTACTGTACCTCATTTTAGGTAAAAACCTGATCTGTTGTTACTGGAGAGTCCTCTCTGCTGCCTCTAGTTGGCACTGTGGCATGTTGCCACTAGAGGTTCTTGTCCACTGTCTCCACTAGCTTTTCTTCCCGTGTTTCAGCCCCTTCACGGGGGGGGGGGGTCTATTGCTTCCGAATCAATTTCAATGTGATTAAAATCCGGTGGTGGCGGAAGTGGTATTAGTGGTGGTGGCGGCGGAAGAGGTGGCAGCAGTGGTGGGTGGTAGTGGTGGGTGGTAGTGGTGGGTGGTAGTGGTGGGTGGTAGTGGTGGGTGGTAGTGGTGGCTGTGGTAGTGGTGGGGTGGTAGTGGTGGGTGTGGTAGTGGTGGGTGTGGTAGTGGTGGGGTGGTAGTGGTGGCTGTGGTAGTGGTGGGTGTGGTAGTGGTGGGTGTGGTAGTGGTGGGTGTGGTAGTGGTGGGTGTGGTAGTGGTGGCTGTGGTAGTGGTGGGTGTGGTAGTGGTGGGGTGGTAGTGGTGGGTGTGGTAGTGGTGGCTGTGGTAGTGGTGGGTGTGGTAGTGGTGGGTGTGGTAGTGGTGGGTGGTAGTGGTGGTGTGGTAGTGGTGGCTGTGGTAGTGGTGGGTGTGGTAGTGGTGGTGGTAGTGGTGGTAGTGGTGGGTGGGTAGTGGTGGGTGTGGTAGTGGTGGCTGTGGTAGTGGTGGGTGGTAGTGGTGGCTGTGGTAGTGGTGGGGTGGTAGTGGTGGCTGTGGTAGTGGTGGGTGTGGTGGTGGTGGTAGTGGTGGGTGGTGTGGTGGTAGTGGTGGGTGTGGTAGTGGTGGTTGTGGTAGTGGTGTGGTGGTAGTGGTGGTGGTGGTAGTGGTGGGTGGTAGTGGTGGGTGTGGTAGTGGTGGGTGTGGTAGTGGTGGTGGGTGGTAGTGGTGGCTGTGGTAGTGGTGGTGGTAGTGGTGGGTGGTAGTGGTGGGGTGGTAGTGGTGGGTGGTAGTGGTGGCTGTGGTAGTGGTGGGTGTGGTAGTGGTGGTGTGGTAGTGGTGGCTGTGGTAGTGGTTGGTTGGTAGTGGTTGGGTGGTAGTGGTTGGTTGGTAGTGGTTGGGTGGTAGTGGTTGGTTGGTAGTGGTTGGTTGGTAGTGGTTGGGTGGTAGTGGTTGGGTGGTAGTGGTTGGGTGGTAGTGGTTGGGTGGTAGTGGTTGGTTGGTAGTGGTTGGGTGGTAGTGGTTGGGTGGTAGTGGTTGGTTGGTAGTGGTTGGGTGGTAGTGGTTGGGTGGTAGTGGTTGGTGTGGTAGTGGTTGGGTGGTAGTGGTGGGTGTGGTAGTGGTGGGTGGTAGTGGTGGGTGGTAGTGGTGGGGTGGTAGTGGTGTGGGTGGTAGTGGTGGGTGGTAGTGGTGGGTGTGGTAGTGGTGGGTGGTAGTGGTGGGTGGTAGTGGTGGGTGGTAGTGGTGGGGTGGTAGTGGTGGGTGTGGTAGTGGTGGGTAGTGGTGGGTGGTGGGTGGTAGTGGTGGGTGTGGTAGTGGTGGTGGTGGTAGTGGTGGTGGGTGGTAGTGGTGGGTAGTGGTGGGTGGTGGTGGTGGCGGTAGTGGTGGGTGGTAGTGGTGGGTGGTAGTGGTGGGTGGTAATGGTGGTGTTGGTAGTTGTGGTAGTGGTGGGTGGTAGTGGTGGTTGTGGTAGTGGTGGGTGGTAGTGGTGGGTGGTAGTGGTGGGGTGGTAGTGGTGGCTGTGGTAGTGGTGGGGTGGTAGTGGTGGCTGTGGTAGTGGTGGCTGTGGTAGTGGTGGTGGGTGGTAGTGGTGGGTGTGGTAGTGGTGGGTGGTAGTGGGGGGTGGTAGTGGTGGGTGGTAGTGGTGGGTGGTAGTGGTAGTGGTGGGTGGTAGTGGTGGTGTGGTAGTGGTGGGTGTAGTGGTGGGTGGTAGTGGTGGGTGTGGTAGTGGTGGGTGTGGTAGTGGTGGGTGGTAGTGGTGGGTGTGGTAGTGGTGGGTGTGGTAGTGGTGGGGTGGTAGTGGTGGGTGGTGGTGGTAGTGGTGTGGTAGTGGTGGGGTGGTAGTGGTGGCTGTGGTAGTGGTGGGTGTGGTAGTGGTGGGTGTGGTAGTGGTGGCTGTGGTAGTGGTGGCTGTGGTAGTGGTGGCTGTGGTAGTGGTGGGTGTGGTAGTGGTGGCTGTGGTAGTGGTGGGTGGTGGTGTGGTAGTGGTGGGTGTGGTAGTGGTGGCAGTAGTGGGTGGGTGTGGGTAGTGGTGGGTGGTAGTGGTGGCAGCAGTGGTGGGTGGTAGTGGTGGGTGGTAGTGGTGGCAGCAGTGGTGGGTGGTAGTGGTGGGTGGTAGTGGTGGCCGTAGTGGTGCGACTGTAGTGATTGTGTCAGGCGTAGTGGTGGTGGTAATAGTAAAGGTGTTAACAGTAGTGGTAGTGATAGTGGTAGTGAGAGCAGTAGTGGTGGCAGAAATGTTGAGAGAGCACACCTTGCATGTGGGCTGCCTGTACTACTCTCAGGTGAGGTGGGGCTGATGCTTCCTGTAGAGTGCATAGTGAGGAAGGCGCGTGTGACAGTAGTAACGCGTCAGGGTATGGGGTAACCAAGGAACCTTGGTTACATAGGCTGGTAAAACGTGCCTCTCATATTGCTAAGACAGCAAGCAGCCTGTCGAGTCACGTCTGCAGGGGTGAATGAAGTGAAGAGTATTGACCGAGATACCGGCGGCGGCGCGCTGGTGGCTCCGGCGGGTGGCGGCGGCTGCCCGTAGGTGGCCACAGTGTACTCTTGACTCTGCCAGGACAAGGTTGTCACTCTCAGCCTCTCCACACTCACACTAGACACACTTGTACTCGTGTGTCGCCGCCCATCACACTCCAGTGCACGCTAGAGGTGCCGAGTAGCACCACCACTGTAGAAGGCACTCTTAGGAGTTGATGGAAGCTCAGTTGAAACACCAACAGCACGTAAGTTACCATAAGCTCAGTATTCCCTGTCGTAAGTCATCGCTCCTTCTCTCTCCATTCTTCTTCTTCTTCTTGATAGTAGGTGCAGTTTGCATGAAGGGTTTGTCCTCCCGATGACTGCTCTCCATTCTTTAAGGTTAGGTCCGCCTCACCGAACGTTCCTGTCGACAGCACAAAATTTTAATTTTGTGTATTACAAATACGCAAAATTAAAATTAATTACGAACATTATAGTGTCGGTAATCGGGACAAAATCTTAAGCTACTGTGTGAATTATAAAGTGAATTAAATAGTACTTCAGAAAATGTTGGTATTGATGTATTGTGTAACACGGCGTGCTGGCGACGATGGGGGCGGAGTGCCCCTTTATAGTGGCACCCAAGGTTGACTCATACTGTCTCGGGCATATCTTAGGAGCTTCACAAGACGCAGAATAGCTTGCTGGTCGCCGAACAGTCGGAGCGGTGCTGCTCCTTCCCCCAAGACTCTTGACCAATGTTAGTAGCTCGGAAATGACCAGATGTCACTCAACATTAAAGCAACCGTACAAACTGCTTTAGGTTTGTATAGACCGCGTCCCCCATCCCCAGGTGGTGGTGTCCCCCATCCCCAGGTGGTGGTGTCCCCCATCCCCAGGTGGTGGTGTCCCCCATCCCCGGGTGGTGGTGTCCCCCATCCCCAGGTGGTGGTGTCCACCATCCCCAGGTGGTGGTGTCCCCCATCCCCAGGTGGTGGTGTCCACCATCCCCAGGTGGTGGTGTCCACCATCCCCAGGTGGTGGTGTCCACCATCCCCAGGTGGTGGTGTCCCCCATCCCCGGGTGGTGGTGTCCCCCATCCCCAGGTGGTGGTGTCCACCATCCCCAGGTGGTGGTGTCCCCCATCCCCAGGTGGTGGTGTCCACCATCCCCAGGTGGTGGTGTCCCCCATCCCCGGGTGGTGGTGTCCCCCATCCCCAGGTGGTGGTGTCCACCATCCCCAGGTGGTGGTGTCCCCCATCCCCGGGTGGTGGTGTCCCCCATCCCCAGGTGGTGGTGTCCCCCATCCCCGGGTGGTGGTGTCCACCATCCCCAGGTGGTGGTGTCCACCATCCCCAGGTGGTGGTGTCCCCCATCCCCAGGTGGTGGTGTCCACCATCCCCAGGTGGTGGTGTCCACCATCCCCAGGTGGTGGTGTCCACCATCCCCAGGTGGTGGTGTCCACCATCCCCAGGTGGTGGTGTCCACCATCCCCAGGTGGTGGTGTCCACCATCCCCAGGTGGTGGTGTCCACCATCCCCAGGTGGTGGTGTCCACCATCCCCAGGTGGTGGTGTCCACCATCCCCAGGTGGTGGTGTCCACCATCCCCAGGTGGTGGTGTCCCCCATCCCCAGGTGGTGGTGTCCACCATCCCCAGGTGGTGGTGTCCACCATCCCCAGGTGGTGGTGTCCACCATCCCCGGGTGGTGGTGTCCACCATCCCCAGGTGGTGGTGTCCACCATCCCCAGGTGGTGGTGTCCCCCATCCCCAGGTGGTGGTGTCCACCATCCCCAGGTGGTGGTGTCCACCATCCCCAGGTGGTGGTGTCCACCATCCCCAGGTGGTGGTGTCCCCCATCCCCAGGTGGTGGTGTCCACCATCCCCGGGTGGTGGTGTCCACCATCCCCAGGTGGTGGTGTCTACCATCCCCAGGTGGTGGTGTCCCCCATCCCCAGGTGGTGGTGTCCACCATCCCCAGGTGGTGGTGTCCACCATCCCCAGGTGGTGGTGTCCACCATCCCCAGGTGGTGGTGTCCCCCATCCCCAGGTGGTGGTGTCCACCATCCCCAGGTGGTGGTGTCCACCATCCCCAGGTGGTGGTGTCCACCATCCCCGGGTGGTGGTGTCCACCATCCCCAGGTGGTGGTGTCCACCATCCCCAGGTGGTGGTGTCCACCATCCCCGGGTGGTGGTGTCCACCATCCCCAGGTGGTGGTGTCCCCCATCCCCAGGTGGTGGTGTCCCCCATCCCCAGGTGGTGGTGTCCACCATCCCCAGGTGTTGGTGTCCACCATCCCCAGGTGGTGGTGTCCACCATCCCCAGGTGGTGGTGTCCCCCATCCCCAGGTGGTGGTGTCCACCATCCCCAGGTGGTGGTGTCCACCATCCCCAGGTGGTGGTGTCCACCATCCCCAGGTGGTGGTGTCCACCATCCCCAGGTGGTGGTGTCCCCCATCCCCAGGTGGTGGTGTCCACCATCCCCAGGTGGTGGTGTCCACCATCCCCAGGTGGTGGTGTCCACCATCCCCGGGTGGTGGTGTCCACCATCCCCAGGTGGTGGTGTCCACCATCCCCGGGTGGTGGTGTCCACCATCCCCGGGTGGTGGTGTCCACCATCCCCAGGTGGTGGTGTCCACCATCCCCGGGTGGTGGTGTCCCCCATCCCCAGGTGGTGGTGTCCCCCATCCCCAGGTGGTGGTGTCCACCATCCCCAGGTGGTGGTGTCCACCATCCCCAGGTGGTGGTGTCCCCCATCCCCAGGTGGTGGTGTCCACCATCCCCAGGTGGTGGTGTCCCCCATCCCCGGGTGGTGGTGTCCACCATCCCCAGGTGGTGGTGTCCACCATCCCCAGGTGGTGGTGTCCACCCCCGGGTGGTGGTGTCCCCCATCCCCGGGTGGTGGTGTCCACCATCCCCAGGTGGTGGTGTCCACCATCCCCAGGTGGTGGTGTCCCCCATCCCCGGGTGGTGGTGTCCACCATCCCCAGGTGGTGGTGTCCACCATCCCCAGGTGGTGGTGTCCCCCATCCCCAGGTGGTGGTGTCCACCATCCCCAGGTGGTGGTGTCCCCCATCCCCGGGTGGTGGTGTCCACCATCCCCAGGTGGTGGTGTCCACCATCCCCGGGTGGTGGTGTCCACCATCCCCAGGTGGTGGTGTCCACCATCCCCGGGTGGTGGTGTCCACCATCCCCAGGTGGTGGTGTCCACCATCCCCAGGTGGTGGTGTCCCCCATCCCCGGGTGGTGGTGTCCACCATCCCCAGGTGGTGGTGTCCACCATCCCCGGGTGGTGGTGTCCACCATCCCCAGGTGGTGGTGTTCCCCATCCCCGGGTGGTGGTGTCCACCATCCCCGGGTGGTGGTGTCCCCCATCCCAAGGTGGTGGTGTCCACCATCCCCGGGTGGTGGTGTCCACCATCCCCGGGTGGTGGTGTCCACCATCCCCGGGTGGTGGTGTTCCCCATCCCCAGGTGGTGGTGTCCACCATCCCCGGGTGGTGGTGTCCACCATCCCCGGGTGGTGGTGTCCACCATCCCCGGGTGGTGGTGTCCACCATCCCCGGGTGGTGGTGTCCACCATCCCCGGGTGGTGGTGTCCACCATCCCCAGGTGGTGGTCCATGTGTTGCTTGCTGGTGGGCTGTAGGCATTTACAATTATCAGTTTATCATCCTGATTCCAGACCTATAATGCCATTATGTCAACTTCTGGAGGGTTTTTCAATTATTAACTCTCTTACCTTCAAGTGTTCTTTCACCAGCACAGCCACTCCTCCCTCCTCCCTAGTTATCCTGTCACGTCTCCAAACTGAGTAGCCCCTTGGGAATACGACTTCATTTAAAATATTTCCTTCAAGTTTCGTCTCTTGATAATGCGACAGTATTTGGGACCTTAAGCTGAATTACATCTTGCAACTCCAATATTTTTTATCTCCATCTATGTTGATATATACAATTTTCAGGAACACGATCCCTTTCTTGATGTCCTTCAGTTCCCTTTCCTCTATTGATTTTGTTGCTTTGTTTTCTATGTACCATTTCACTAGCTTTCCAGTCCCTAACACTTTGTAGAAAAAAGAATTTCCTTTTTTCTTCATTTCTATTCCCATTTAAACGTTTTGCTTCACTTAGGTTCATTTTCAGCTTTTCTCTGTTCTCCGTTGAGAGGTCTTGTCTTATTGACCAAAGTTTACTATCCTCATCACTCTGCAATTTCCTGGCATTTCTTAGCACTTCCGTCAATGGTGTTACACTCTATTAAATGTCACCCTTAAGGGGCGTTTCTTGTCTTTCTCATATTTTCCTATCCTCCTAAAATCACTGACATTTTCCTTTGAATTTAAGCCTTCTCCTAAACCTAGTATTTTCTCTTTGATTTCATCTCTCATGCTGCTCGGTCCACCCTAGATGATATTTCCTTTTCTAAACACCCAAAAATTATTATGGACTTCCTTCTATCTGCAGTGTTTTGTACTAGTTTATTGTTGGTTATCTGTTCTTTCCTAATTGTTTGCCTAATTTCTGCTTCTTCTTCTTGAGGTTATCTTGAGATGATTTCGGGGCTTTTTTTTTTGTTTAGTGTCCCCGCGGCCCGGTCCTCGACCAGGCCTCCATCCCCAGGAAGCAGCCCGTGACAGCTGACTAACACCCAGGTACCTATTTTACTGCTAGGTAACAGGGGCATAGGGTGAAAGAAACTCTGCCCATTGTTTCTCGCCGGCGCCTGGGATCGAACCCAGGACCACAGGATCACAAGTCCAGCGTGCTGTCCGCTCGGCTCCCTCTTTGTCATTTCTGGTTTTGACTTCCAAACACACTTCCTTAATCGTCTCTTTCTCTTTTACAACTTGCTCATACGTCTCTTCTTTTTCTTGTTTATACTTTTCTAGTTCTTTATTAACCTCCTCTATGTGAGTTGTCCATCAAGTTCCTCTTTACACCTCCTTCACTAACTTCATGTTAGCCTTCAGGGGCCTTAGGAGTTGTTCACCATAAGAGTCTATTTTCTTGTTTATTTCTTCAAGTTCACCACTCTTCTCTTTCTACACCTCATTTTCTTTCACTAGTTCATGGATTTGTTCCTCCTGAATCTTTACCTTGGCCGTTAATGGGGTAATTTTCTTACTTTGCTGAAAAATACTTCCTTTTAAAGTGCGAAACTCACTCCTGAGATCTCCCTTTGCTTCTTCTAATTCAAGTATTTTTTCTTCATACTTTTTTAGCATATCCTTAATTATCTCTCTCCTGCCAAGAACACCTGTTTT